TATATTATTAATATTGTGCAGGCGGGGTTATTAACAAATGAAATTCAGTCTGAGGTGAATAGTATTTTTATAAAGAATTATTGCTTTCGATCTATACTTTGACTACGTTAAACGTTTTCGCAAAGCTCTTTATTATTTTGGAAGGTGGTAGTTGCTTCGGTATGTTTTCTGAGTTTAGCTTCTTGTACCTTTGATATATTTAGTATTATGTAAAACTTGTTGAAAACATTTGAATATGTTTTGAATATAATAAGCTATTATTTAATTGAGATGATTAGAAGTATTTTATTCGTAGCGTTATATTATGATTTGAGCTATCTTGTACTGATTCTGTATATCTATTTGTTACTTGATTCTTATTATTTGATTCCTTAACTGCAATAATATTTAATATCATAAAGTTAGATCTACTGCTATATTATATTTAGCCACCGTTTATCATAAGGTTTTAGTAAGAATTGTAAAAGCTACTATTCTTGGTTTATATTGATGGATAGAGGTACTAGGTTCATTATTTATTTTTTAGTCTTTATTATGTTATCATTCGAATATATAACCAACTAATATATAAGCATACTTATGTCCGTATATATTACTATTAGAGATAAAATAGTTATTGGATGCTTGGCGTATTATTTATATTAAAAGATAGCTTTTAAATGTGGGTGGTGGTTATATGTTATATAAAGTTTCAGAATCTTGCCTACTATATAGTGAGAAGATAGATATAAACTGATATTGGACAAACTTGATTTAGAACCAAAGAATTGTCAACAGATGATATATATATTGTACTCTTTTATGTTGTGCTGAGCTAGGTTTTGGATTGTTTCAAATTGGATGTTGTAGAAGATATAGTAGTTGTGTTTAATTCTAAGGTGCTCATCAAGCTCAACCATCTTTGTGAAATCTTATTGTAGGAAACAAATGTAGTAGATATGATGATATGGAGAGTTGTAGATATATTGCAGTCTCGCAAAGAAATTTCTAAAACTGATTGTGCAGTGCGCGTAATAAAATTATTTTAGAAGTATGATCTAGGATTGTTAGGAAATCTCCTTGAGTGTTGGGAGCAAGAGGAATAAATGATTGTTTGCTTACTGAAAGAAGTTTGTGTAGAAAAAGGCGGTGGGGCTCTTGATTGTGTTCGAGCTTTTGTGACTTGTAGGTCTATCCTTTATGCTAATCACTATATGGTATATAATAGCTCGTTTGATGGCAAACCAGGTCAAAAAGCTATACATTTGGTAGATCTGGTTGACACAATGTTAATACGAGATGCCTCTTTACGCCGAGGGAGTTTCGGACCAGATTCTGCATCGGGATATGTTCTGAAAAAGAATGATTAGGAATCAGGTTTTTTTACCATTTTGATATTGCCCTCTGCTAGGTAAGGTGACGCGAAAGAATAATGTCAATAGGGTTTGCAAGAGTATTATAGGTAATTTATAGAGCCTCATGTCACGTGAGAGTCAGTTTCAATACGATCCGGCATTCGAAAATAGGCTAAGCCTGAACTAGATTGGTGTGTTTCGGAATAGGGTACGAGAAAGATTTCACGAGAGTAGAGTGGTGAAATTGATTTCGATCCATCCTGTACTTCAATCATTCGGAGCAGCTTCTACAGATGTGTGTTCAGCATATTTGTGACTACACTAGCCGCAGAAGCTGATTCATACTACCATCGGGCAAGACGGCGATCCCAACGTGGTGTTCTCCTAACGTATAGTCATTGGCATTGTTTGGCGAAACAAAGCTTGAATTTTCGTGTTCTTCATCCAGGAACGGAATTATATTTCGCCGCTCCAGACGTTCCTTTAACTTAAATTCTTACGCTACTCATCCTACCGCTAATTGTATTTCTTTGCTACAGAGACATGGCGGCGCATGATGTTCCTGCAAGATATGGTGTTCGTCCAGTTCATATAGTCAGACCTTATCATATCGCGCTCGCCGGCAGACCTCCTCTCACAGAGGGACAAATAAGAGAAAACCTGGCCAACGAACGCGATGCTCAACTGCAGAAGGAATACAACGTTCTTTGTCAAAAGCTTGTCAACACCCTTGATGATAAAATATTCCTCGCCGATAGTCTCGGGTTCGTCACCTCACTGGTCACCGGCGGAGAGTTACCCATTCCATGCCAGAGTCTTCATTATAAATACGAGGAACCGAATGGAGAGCTCTCATTGCCGGAAAAGAATATGAACATCAGAACCAGGCTTACCGATGTGCATTTGACTTTATCTGCGGACATTAAAACACTCAAAGCCCTCAATAAAGTCCTCTTAGGCCGAAGTTGCGAGCATTCAGTTAGACCCGAGCCGAACACCCCAAGAATCCTTTATCGGGCTATTCGGTCGTCCAGCTACAGTCGATATGATAAACACCTTGGTTTCCGTTCTTCAAGGCAACCATTAACGCTGCCTTCTAACCATGACGGCTCTCTACACGAGAGCTCATTGGTCGATAAGGACGTCTTGAAAAACCATTGCGAGGGCGGCCGACCTTCGGACCTCATTGCGCTGTCTGATAGCCCTGCGAGAATTTTACGTCTTATCAATCACAAGGATTTTGGGGACCTGAAAGGAGAAATGATAGCCGTGATCAATGTCTCAAAGCTTATAGCTATGAGATTCCTGTTCGCTCGTACGACGACTTTAACTGCTAAATTGGGCATGAATGCCTGGGCTCCCTCTCGAACTACAGGTCTCAGTTGGGTAAATTCAAACTATTGGATTGCTTATCGATGGGTGCCGGCTGAGTGCATCGAATTCTGCCTGTCAGTGGAATCTCTGCGAAGTGCGTGCAAGGAGCACAGCATCGGTGAGCGATCCAGATTCTGAAAAGAGCAAATGCTTACATTACAAAGAAGATTTTGATTTCGATCGACAACTTTCACTTGACGATTTGCTCAGTCAAAGAGTGAACAGTCTCAGTATTTAAGCTGCACTATATGAAGAATATATTCAATCAGTTTGGCCGTATTATCATATCCATCATGTACACCCCCCCTCTCCCCCTCTCCTTGAGTCGCACAACATGACAAGAGAGGAGGGATGCCTTGTCCCTAGTTCTTTTGTTTCTGCGGCCGTCGTGATTTTGCTCTGGGCTCTTCGTTGTTTATTCTTGGTATTTTCCTTTTTTTTTGTTAATATGATGATGGGCTAGCGTGGGGATAGGATTGGATCTTATAGCCATGGCTTGGTCAAATCGATTTATCAGCGATTCTTGGGTGGGATACAGCTGCCTTGTACATTTAATATCCAACTATAACAGGATAAAAGAAAGCTAGTAGTATAGTATACCTCTCACCTCTCAATGTTCAAGGTCCTGTGCCTATGGAATGTGGTGTTTGAATCTGGTCTCTAAACGGTCTTGCTAGGATTTTGATAACGGAGACTTAATCTCGCTTTCACCTGGAAATATTCAGCTCACGATACCAAAGCCATAAATTTACTACGAGATTGCGTAACCAAGCAAAAGGAAACTCCCACCCTAAACCATCCCACTACTTTATTCAATTCTGAAACATTAATAGAATGGGAAGCGGAGCGCTTAAATCTGAATGCATAATAAATAAGTCAGATGCTTGAATATCAAATGTTTACCCACCCATTTTCGCTTTACACGTTTTCAAAACAATCTTTCCCACAATAGATCGAATTAGCGCTCACTACTCGAAATAGGATTGACCTTACGATTCTAGTGAATATCGCTGCCAAGGGATTGTGGAAAAGCAGAAGTCACGTCGTCGGCGAGCGAGCCAAGGACCTACGAGATGCGGGTATTTTAGCAGGAGCATTACAAGTAATTTATACAACAGTATGACACGTGACATTACATTTCAATACGATTCAATACTTGAAACTAAGCCAAGCCATAAATAGATTAGCATGTTTCGGATTAGGGTTCGAGAAAGATCTTTTGAGAGCAAAGTGGTGAAACTAATTTCGATCCATCCTGTACCAATGCCGCTCCATTTCATACGATTCTTTATAGCTGAAGTTCGAAGGCAAGCCGGTATTCCATTTAAATTGCGGGGTATGGGGGCGTACCACTCGTGGCATGTCATACGGAGATAATGAGCCCCTAGTAACATAATGCGTGTAAATTGGATACAACCCTGTGGCTCAGGAACTAAATAAGGCGAATCCAGGAGCTCTCAAAGAGGCCAATTTTGAACTCCATGAGCACAAAAAGCGGCTTGAGAAGATTTTCGAGAGCAGCTAGTACTGTGCGACATGCTTTCGTCGGATCTCGATGAGAAGTATTTCTCTAGAAGCTCCTTTAATTCCATCATAGTAAGCAAGGGAGTTTGGAGGCAACATTCACACTGGGATAATGCAGCTAGGCAGTTATTGATATAAACGTTTCGAGGCGACTATTCGATTTTCTTGTGGACCCGCGATACCGATCAACCGAAAAATATTAAAAGCTTGTAGGCGGATAAAGTATACAGTCGTAGAAGCACGTCAGTATTATGACGTATTATACAAACGTTAGCATAATATTTACGGTACATTACATTCGGTAAATACTTGCTAGATATCTAGGTCCGAGTGTGGCAGCGCAACTACGTAATGGCAATATATCAATTTTTTACACTGTGACAAGCTGGATGTAATCGGTTCTCGTCAGAACACGTTGCATTCACCTCTCGCCATCGTATCAGCACAAACGAGGACTTTCTTTCCGGCTGAGCTTTTTCTCACAGAAAAGATACCTCAAGAGAATTTTGCAAGTGTAATGCTCTCATTTCATGCATTAGTTATAGCGATGAGCCTGTTGCTAGGTTTCGAGTAGTGACATTATGGCATTGCAGGCAGAAATTTGGTAAAGAACGTAGTTTCTATTATTTTAAAAGAGTAAATCCAAGAAAGCGAAGCTGACACAAGTTGAGAGACGTAATTTATTCACTGTGATTGGCAGTTTGCTTCTTTAGTCCGGAGCGTCACAGCAGTATTTCCAGCCGTTTCCAAATCTTGCTCTGTGATTAACTAAGGTGCAGGGTAGTAGGAATTCTAAGATAGTTAGCCTTTATATCCAATGATTCATACCTGACAGCATACTAGTTGTGACCCAAGAAAGCCCCAAAATCCTGATGCGTCCGCTGATAGGATGAACACCTGACCCGTCTCCCGTAGTCGTATTCCCAAGCAGACGTCTGCTTCACACATCCTACTATATTCACATGCTTTCTTCATCAAGTTGGATTTGCGACGGCATTGTTTTTGCCGCATTAATCTTCTCTTTGAAGAGGATCGCTGCGAGGAATTTGTTGGCGCCATAATACTTCAGGATATGTCTTGACGTTGTGACTGTGAATTGTTGGAAATTTGAGCAAGGAAGAGGCAAAGGAGCGGACGATCTTATAGTCTTGGCCTCTCTAATAGCGATTAGTATTTCAAAACATAAGATGTCGTTGATTGGAAAAAGAGCGTGGTAACAGTTTTCGAAGAGAATGAACACTGGTACATTACGGTTCAACTGTTGGTTGAGTATTTGGAAGGCTGCGTCCGTCAAATAATGCGTGGACCAGTTTTAACGATGTTTAGAGACAGGGTGGAGGCATCCCGTGTTTGAACATCGCCATGCCCACAGCATATTGGAAGCTTGAAAAATCGAGCAAGAGTTTCATGGTTGATTAGCTCATAATGAGACGATGTAGAGAACCATCAACTTTGTAATGCTGATTTTCGATTTTCTAAAAGATGCACCAATACAGTACTGTACAAAGAGCAAACTCTCTAACACGTATGAAGCCATGGAGCTTGAAACCTCCTCATGCATAGTCCCGTTACAACCATTTAAATCAAAACTCCGCCCCGATCGTTCGTCATATACTCGAAGAAGTAACATCCCCCTGTGGCGCATTGATAGAAAATCAACCGTGGGACTCTAGCTCTTCCACCATCTGGACCTGATATTCCACGTCTGCTGAATTGCATCCCGACCGCTATTTCTCCATCCCAACTCCGAAAACCGACCTACGCCTTGATCATCCAAAACGCCCCCACATCTTTAGAGGAACCGACATCTATAAGTCAGAGTGAAATAATGGATACTGAAGACTGTCAAGCGAGGCCCTCGATTATCCGATCATCGTGGCATGGCCGATTATATATAGTCATGTTGGACACGTGCTCATTAGTGATGGAAGAGGCGAGGGCTCATTTCTAGACATATCAAGTAGCATTTACATCAAGTTCGTGAAAGGCTCGGATATCTCACAGCCATTGGTCTTTGTCGATATCTGGCAACTGATGGAGAAGAACGGGCGTCGCAGATCAAACTCACTTGCATGGAAAGGGCTATTATTAGTCCAGCTCAATCGGGTAAAGCACTCCATTTACGAGTAAATTGGGTTTTAGTAAGTGTAATCAGACCGAAAAATCAAGCTAGGTTTTGGTCCCTCTCAGATCTCAGTGGATTTCATGCTACTAAATTCAGTCAGCCACAGACACCCTGCAAATTCTCGGCGCTCCTCTTGGTACAATGGTGAGTCATTTACATCTTCCCATTAGGTCTTAGCCATATATAACAAACTCAGATCCCAGGAATATATAGGAAACGATCTTGCAACCCTCACCGGATGAAATGTTTGGATATCGATCAGGTTGTCGATTTGCTTTGTAGCATCAGAAAATCTGCATAATAGTCAGGCTTTTGCTCTGGACGAGGAGCTGGAAAGAGACAGATCCGGAATGCCAATGGTTGCTTGAATCTACGAGCAGTCTTCATGAGACCTTGAGGAGAAATGCTTGAAACTTGGATATGTTCACTCTAGAAGGGATCAGTTTTTCTTTTATATACATTAGTTCTAAGCGTTAGCAGTCCTAGCTCTCGCAATTGGATACTAGCACTAAAGCTCCTAAGATCTATATCATTTTACCAATCACATTGCGGTGGTATGAAAGGTCTGAGAGCTCCTAGAAAGATCTATCAGACTTTAGCTAGAATGAGTTATTTTCTGATTGCTAGTTAGAATATGTTAGGCAAATGAGGGGCCGTACATATCGTCATAGCGACTAGATTATCTAGCATACATGATTAATAGGTCGAAACCATTTTTGCGGAAGTCCATCGCTAGAACTGAAATCATATTCCTAAAAGCAAGCAGCAAGCAGCAAGAGTAATAATCTGTTATTATTCAAACAATACAAAATCCGAACAAAACAAAAATTAAAATCTAAAAATTATTTAATTGGGGTTCTTGGAGATATTTCTAAATATAGTAGAATCAAAAATTAAAGGTGATATATTTTCCGCAACTATATAGAAACGGTATAGTGGATGCAAGGCTCGGCGAGTTGAATAGTGGTATAGCTGCAGAATAGTAAACCTAATAAATATGGCCCCACCCTAGCTAAAGGCGAAACAACCAGAATCGACCGACAAATTGATGACGCTAGCCTTTCGTTGAGGGGACAACAGTCAAGAGTTCTGGTGAACAACTGCATTTGGATAGGGCTAGCGTTGTACATTTTATTGAGGTGAGCTGCTGGCTTAGCTGCTCCGGCGTTTTGCTTAGGTGATGCTCAGTGAGCTAGTCAGAGCGCTCAGGTCATGGTCGGTGAGTAAGATCAGGCTGCTCAGTAAGCAAATCAGAGCGCTCAGGATCCACTTAGTGAGCAAGTTATCTTGCTTATGTAACGGTCAGATGATGCTTAGTGAGCGAGCTTGACGATTATGTAATACGCAGCGGCATGCTCAGTTGTGCTCAGTAAGCAAAAAGCGGCAAGCATTGAGCACTAAAATGGAAAGGGAAAGCCAAGAAGTGGCAAAGGAAATCAACTATGTAGCGCCCTTATTAAAGTGGGGGAAACTATAGTTGCATATGCTACACCTATCACAATATACTACGCAAAATCACGCTAAGTGCAACCAAAAATGTCACGCAGATATTCCAGAACCTAGGACTAAAGGGGTTGATCTGTTTGTATGTGATGTCGCTGAATGCTATAAACAAAGCGTTGCTACAAGATTATGGTCCGATCCTATACAAATCTATACTCACTAAGTTTGAGTCGAACTTGATCAAAATTGGCAGCGGCTTTTGGTGAATCGGTAAGCTTTTCATATATTACGTCTACAAGGAATTTTTTGAGTCAATATTTATATTAAGAAGTCTTGGATACAGCCATAAAAAAAAGGCCTCCTAAACCCTATTTTAGATATAAACCTACAAGCTAAGACGCCCATCAGATATCGACCGATACAATTCAAGATTCCAGCGACAAAAGAAAGGAGGTGAGTAAAGCAGAAAAGAAGTATTATTGAGTACCAATACAATTAGTAGTAAAAATGAAACAGTTTCCTAATCTTGGAGGGCCTAAAGATGTTGTTAATATCAGTATACTACACTATCAAATGTTGTAGTATTCAACTGGAGCGCAAGCTTTCCCTAAGCGCGACCTCTTACGACTGTCCTATAAACATCCTTCGCATAGTTCAAAAGTATTGATTTCTGTTGAAGAGACAGATTGTCACAAACATTACAAGCAACGCCCTTAAGAGGCCAGGGAGGGTTCACATGCTTGCGAAGAAAATGTCTTGTTAGTGAGCCTGATGTTGCATATTTTTTGACTTGGTCCTTAATCGAAAGACTAGGATTCCCGACACAGAGAAAGCAGATGGTGGGTCGGTCTTCGTAAGAATTAATCCGTACAGACTAGATCGCTTGGTAAAGAATGGCGTCAGTCTTTTCTTCTTCTGAGCAACATTGCTATTTCGTAGAAGGAAAAGAAATATCGTCGGAGGCAAACCGGCGATAAGATTAAGTTAGCTGAGACGTAAGACGTCCTTCTTCAACACCACAGAAAGCGGTCACTACTTTTATCGCATTAATCCGACGTTGATACTCTACCTCCATAGTTGCACCCGGCACAGTGAGCATAGTGTCAATCACTATTACAAACTCCGAGGGCATTGAACTGATGTATTCTAATGCCCCCATTACTTTTCTATCCACCAACTTTCCTGCCAGCTGTCGCTCCAGGTCAATAATAAATTGTTCGTTCTTGTATCGCTCCAAATTCACACGAATTCGTTTGTTCTGTTGTCGCTGCTTCTGGTTGTGTAGTTCATGAAGAGCCCTATTGAACTTCCGCTTAGCTTCCACTACCCAATCTTACACGGCTCTTAACTTCTTCTGAGACTTGTGTTGGTGCTCGGAAATTGTTCCTTCTTTAAGATGGCCGAAGGTGGTTTGATATGCCTGTTCAGCGTATTCGCTTTTGGCTTGGCGATCTTTCCACTTGCGCTTTCGTTCGTCAACTTTGCCCTGCTCTTCACGAACAATTAGAAGATCGTTAAGAGATCTAGATTCCTCAGTTGAGAGTTTAAAGGGCCTATCTGGGTCAATCGACGCACTCAACAAACAAGCAAATCGTACTAGTGGGATTTGAGACCTGGTCTTCCGTACAATGCCCTGAACGTCAACATCGACATCCACTTTATAATATCGGACGAAAGTGCGAATGTCCGAGTGCTGCAACATGACGTTCTGGAGGGCATCTGTTACCTCCTCTGCTCGAATAGTTAGCTATCTGGAAGTTACTGGACCCAAGGGACATATACCACTTTTGTTAAAAGCCTTGGCTCCAGCATATCAGAGATTATATGGCTTAATGAGTTCTATGTCTGTGATTTCGCCCACCCGGCGCATGCGAGATCGCACTATCGATGACATTATTTGTTTCTTTAAGTCGATTCGATATCCGGTGACATCCCGGATAACCTGGCAGAAAACAAATTTGTTTAAGATCTCGCCCTTTAAAATTAGCTGTTGCTGTTTCAAGCCTTCTAGAATTCGAAGACAATAGAGATTCTCCGGGCAATCCAGTATCGGTCTAGTTGAGGATCTCGTCTTGAAGCCTTTTATATGAAAGAGTATACCTAGCAGGCAGATATGCAGACTGAGGGCCAAAGTAGGGTCAAAAATTATTTTTGGGATTTTGAACTCATTTCTTTACAAGTTAGCCAGATTGTCTCCAACTTCATAATAGAAAGATGAGGGAACCTACAGGGCCTTCTTTCCAAGAAACCTCTTTGTAAACTCAGGAGTTAGATAGATAAATAGTCGCGGGCATCCTCCTTCTGGATCTCGAATTAATGTCAATACGATGTTCCAATAGCGAAGGCCAAGAAGAGTGTCCGGGCGGTTTGCAGTGATGACTGCGAGTTGACAGAAAAGAAGGATCTGGATGCGCTGTTAGCCATAATCAAACGTTGTCTCTATGGTGGTCAAGAGTATATGAGCGAATTCAGCGATATCTTCAATATATATATTTTTCTTTAGCCGTCGTGTAAGTTCAAGACCCTTCTGCTGGGCTACTCGCGTAATGATCTATAGAAAATCAGCGAGCGTTACTTTCTAGTCAGTGTGAAAGGTTTCAGTTGATTACTTACATCTTAAACTTTGATAATCGTCTCTTTGACTAGTTCCGACGCCGTCTTTTGTTTAAGAATAAGATGCCACTACTTCTAGAATGACTTAAGCGAACTCTTGTATTTGATATCCGGGCAATGTCGACTATTTTTATTCCGCCGAATATCACATCGCTAAGCGAAAAATCCATACAAGAAACGGACTGTATCATCTGAGTCTGAAATCCTTTGCCAGTGCTTCAGAAGATTGAGGTTGAGATGTTTATAATATCTGCTAGGAGTAGACCACTGGTTAGCTTTTGGTAAAAGGTTCCGATGAAAGAGCAGCGAATCTATTCCAGTACACGGCGGTTTGATCGAGTTTCTTCTGAGTACTATTACTATAACGCTTCTGTCGAAACTGAGAGACGTCTAAGCCCTCTGCTTCAGCCAAATAGTGTTTAGGGGGCAGCTGACCCTCATCATTGAACGATTCATCGCTGGAGTCACTCTCGTTATCTGTATCATCTCCGTCGGGTTCCGATTTACTGTCGGAATCTTTTTTAGATCCGTTGTCCGTAAAGATCGCGCTCCCGTCAGAGTCTGCATCGCTTTTATTTTGACTTTTACTTTGGATAGGTCCGATCGATCGGCAGCGAGGCGTCATGGGGAAAATGGCTCGCAAGGTAGATGTTGGGTTAGGGAAGACTGAAGAGATAAAACGAAGCTGGAGAGGGAATGGTGATCTGGATTTAAGAGCGAGGTGAAATGGACGAAAGGTGAGAGGGAGGGAGGGGACTTAAGAAGGCTGCAGTCGCCATGAGGGGACTCGGAACTAGAAAGAACATGGTGGTGTGAAAAGGAGCCAGAAATGGCTCCATCATTTTGCAATGTGCGCGTCCAGGGGGGTGAGGAACGAACGAGGGGGAGCAACGCGCTAGCGTCAGGAACCGAGCGTGCTGCGTGGAAGTAAAATACGGAGCCGTGGGGGTTGGCACGGTCGATGCCAAGGCCGAGACTGGTTAGCAAGACTCGTAAAATGGCGGCAGAAGCAGCCGTTTCCGGCAGCCATCTAACTGTCACATCGTTAAATAGAGTTAACAATATTGTTTTTTTGTTAGAAAGAGATTTTAAAATCTTTTTTAGTAGATATTAAAATATCTTTTGTTTTTGATTATTGGATCTCTTTATTTATAGATGTATTTATGGTTGTAATAGATTATTTTCTAAATTAAAATTGGGAGTATTGAGAGGTTCTATTTGGCTTTGAGTCTATTTTTAGATTATATATTAGTAAGAATCTAAGTGTGGTAGTAATGGATATTTTCTAAAAGTATAATTTGACAAATCGAATACTTATAGTGATTATTGATAATGCATTTAACAATATTATACTTTTAGAAAAGTTCTAGAATGAGAAGTTTTAGAATTGTATTGGATATTTTGAGCTAGATGATGATGCTAGATTTGTTTATATTCTATGTCTTGTATATATAATCTAATTAAGTTTGAATATGCTTCTGAAGGAGATAAAAACTGCCTTTGACAACGATGAAACTGAGAAAGCTTGGGAGTAAAGTAATACTATTTGTTTTTGAGGTTGAAAAGGTGATATTGGTTGAAAAGGCGATATTGTTGATATATTTAAAAAGGTTTGGAAATTATATATTGAATTATATATTGAATTATATATTTATATATCTTTTAGATTTACAAGCTTGCTATCTATATGAATAGTAGTCTGTAATATTAGAAGCAGTTCTTTAAACTATAATCTAATTTGCTTAATTTACTAAAGTTTGTTTTTATTTAGGATATATGTATTTATTAGAATTCAATATTTCTAATGTTATATTATGTAAAGAGGTTCTGATCGATTTTTGATTAATATTATTTTTAAAAGAATCTTATTAATCTTATATTTGATTAAGAGTATTAGTATTAAATCAATTATCTATTATAGATTATATAATCTTTTTTTAAATTTATAATAGTACTTTTAAAGTCAAAAGATATTATTATTTACTTTGTGTTTAGTATCTATAATATACTTTTTGACTATTTGGAGAGATTAATTATCTAGTTTTAAAAAAAGAAAGTTTTTTAGAAGAAAATAATGTTTATTATTTTAGAAGTTTTTAAATAGAAATTTGGACATTACTATAGTAAGATTAACAGGGTTTATAGTGATCTATTTGCAATTACAACTATTCTTGCTTTATAATATAAATTCTAATTCTTTAGTAATTAGATAGAGAATAATATTAACTATTATAAATAATATCAAAGAAGCCTTCAAATATTCCTTATACTATATCAATAACAACTATAAAAAAGATTAAGAAAGATATTAGTTTAGTCTGATTTTGATAAAGATATTAATGTTAATCTTGATTTAATGATTAATTCTGGATATCAGATTAAAGAAAATAATAATAAATTTATATAATATATTTAGTTTGGTATGTATACTTCTTTCTATTAAAATTCAATTTTACTAATACATACTAGGATTAGTTAAGCTAAAGAATATACACTAATAGTAGAAAGAGTATAAGACTGAATTTCCAGTTCTTACAAATCTTACTTGTAATATTTTTACAATCTCTACGACTAGTACTGGAGTTGAACGTTTGTTTAACTCAATTCGTGATATCTACTACTATCGATATAGTTTATTGAATATAAATACTTTCAAAAACTTAATGTTTTAGAAATATACTACTAAGTTCAATATTGAATTAATAGACTTTGAATTTTACGATATATATTTGACTGAATAGAATACACAGATAAGACAGAAAGAGAAGGATTAGCCCCATCAGGAGCCAATGGAGTCTATTAATAATAATAAAGAGAAGGAAGATGAATCTACAGAATCTCTAGAGATACATCCAGCTATCGTTATTAATCAGAGCCCGAATCGCCGCTCGATACACAAGGAAGATAACAAGGTGGATGTTGAACCACCTCTTTTTCCACAATCTCCACAGATGGGGAGATTCCACAAGAAAACTAGAAGAAATAACTTTATAGAGCATTAGTTAATATTTAATATTAATAGTATTTTAGTAAAATCTTAGTCTGATTCCAAATTTCTAAGTTCCAACTACTAAATATTCCTACTATCTTCTATTCAATATGTAAACAAAATACATAAAATCATACAAAAATACAATCAAATTAAACATAATTTATGCATTCCCTGTTTGTCTTGTTTGACCTACCCATCAAACCCGCATAACCCGTATGGGTATCACTTTCATACCCATACCCAGCCCATGGGTACCACTTTCATACCCATGCCCGGCCCATGGGCGGGTATGGGCTACCCATGATGGGTAGCCCGCGGGCCGTGTCGAGGCCTAAGTCTGATTGCTTTTAGATTCGAACTATATATAGTTTAGGTGCTGAAATAGAACTTCTGAAAGTTCAAGGCGATTTCACCTACTGGATCGGAATGTAGTCTGGGTCAGAAAACCGTTGGTAGTCTACTCTTGAGGGTTTTTTCTGCCTATAGTTAAGCAAAACCCACCGCCCGGCAGTCTACCACGTTGCCGTCCCTGCCCTTGGATAGTGCTTCCAGGACCTCAAAGTATGCTTGTTGCGTCTCATACATAATAAAAAATGCTCCTTCAGGTATTCCCGTCCGACCTTAGGCACACTGTACACCTCGGAGTTTTCAAAAGAAGTAGGCTGACAGCAGCCCCCGCATACATGAAACCAACAAGCAGTTGCACCCCCAGATAGGGTTTCTGCTCAAAGCCGGTGCCAACGAGCTTCATGGAGACTGCTTCTGCCACAGCCGTGGAAGGTGTGAGGATGAACCAGAATAAACCTAGTGCACCGGAAATATCGGCCGAGCCTACTACTTCTGCTGTCAATGGAGAAGCTGTAGCCCATAGTGTCCCTGCCACAAGACCAACCATAATGGCAAAAGTGTAGATCACAGGAATTGAGGTGGCGAAAGGCCACATAACCAAAGACAGAAAACCAGCTATAAAAGTAGCGGATACAGCAACGTTGGTGCGGCCCAGTGAGTCGCTCAGCCATCCAATTGCAGGACGTCCAATGATTTGACCAAGATTGAGAAGCGCACTAGCGACACTCCCTTGTTTTTCTGAGAAGCCCATCGCCACTGTGTAGCTGGAAAGGCTAAATAGCAAAGATACGTATCCAAAACCACTCAAAATCCCCCATACGGCTAAAGCGACGTAATTCGGATTGCGAAAAACCGAGAACTGAAGGATATTCCGGCTTCCAGAATTGGAGTTGTTGGTTCGTAGGAGGTTGCCACATATCAAGATGATCACGAAGCTAATAATGCCAAGGGCCCGCATAGCCCACAGAAACCCTATCTGAGGTATCATTGCGCCAACTGATAATGAGTATATCAATCCACCGGTTCCGGAGCCTGCTGCAGCAATGCCGTTGGAAAGGCTTCTTTTTTTGCAGAACCATTGAGAAACAATTCCCACGGAACCGACAAAACAGCAACCCATGCCGAACCCAAAGCACACACCTTGAGCGAGGAATAATTGCCAGTTTCTTCGGACCAAGGACGTCGTCACAAGCGACGTGGTCTCAAGTAAGGCACCTATATTCATGACAAGTTGCACAGAGAAGCGATTCCCAATATACGTAGCCACCGGAGAAATGAGCATAGCACATGCTACGCTGAGGCCGCCCACAAATGCGTAGTCCAAAGGCGTGGTGTTTGGAAAGATTTCATGGGACAGATAGAATGATAGTAAGACCCCATAGGCCTGAATTTCTCAGCAATCAGATGCTTTCAAAGCTGACGAAGAGACTCACGCTATTTATTCCCCATGTATGTGCGTTAATGAGAAAAGTGCAAAGGACAACCACCCATCCGTAGCCGCCTTCGCGCGGACTTTGTTGCTCAACTGAATTCTCATCAGATGATTGTTGTAGAGAAAGGTTCGTGGGCCTCATTTCCATATCGCAGATATGTCATAAGATTTTCCAAGTGGTGGTCTTTTCAGAGATAATACTTGATGTGTAGTATGATGTCTTTTACCAGAAAGCGAAGCTAGCAATTGAGTTCACCGCAAGCAGGTAGGTAATTGTCAGCTAATTGTACAACAATCCTTATCATTGAATTGGAGCAACAAGATAGATGAAAGGCCTGGGAATTCAATAGAACACAATTCGTGACGCTGAGATAGGGTTCAGGTAGGCGTGTAAATACACTAATGAAGAGATGCAGAAGAGCAAAAGAAAAGGTGAAGATTCTCAAATTCACAGATAGAAAGAATCACGCAACATTTTACGTAGAGGGATTTATTATTATCTATAAATCGCAGTTTGTTGTACATGTCGCCTGGTTGGTACTAGCCACTAGTTTTTCAGTACCTCAAGATCCTGCCTCGCTAACTTTGCAGATGTGGAACAGTAATTTTATTAGCTGCAACCTACACAGCAACCTGCTAGAAAAACTTGTATTGCCCACTGAGACGGTACATCATCTGCTGCACCTACCCGTGACTCACCCGTGACTCGACCGTGACTCCACCGTGACTCCACCGTGACTCACCCGTGACTCACCCGTGACTCGCCCGTGACTTCTTGATCACAGGTAATGTTATTTGTTCACAAGCGAGCTAACAGGCTTCATTGCATTCGAAATAGTTTTTTTCTCCACCTACTCAAGAAAGAGATTCCAGGAATTTTTGTAAAAAAAGGATACAGTTCCATTAAAAGACCTAGCCATAACATTTTCACTTTTTGCTTCTTAATTGAACAAGTGACGATCTCTCTTCGACTGACCAGGGCCTTTTAATTATTGAATTTAGCCCCCTGTTGAGCAAACCAACAAGTTGCCTGCCGTTTCCGCTACAAGCACCACTAGCAGCTTCACTTTTCACCCAGCTAAGGTGAACATGGCGGTGAAAAGCAGGATCTACCATTATTGGGTCGGCTTTGCGAATACGGGCCATATAAAGGACTATGCATTTCATGATATGTTCGAAGGTGGTATTTGAACGAAAAATCGTCATACCATGATTTTGCAAGCAGGATCTCAAAGTTAATACTGGAACAAGCGGCCTAGTTTCGGGCAAGTTGAGATTCGCTCAGTAAGACACATCAATCTTACTACCACAACTTGCTTATCTACCTATCTGGTCTAACAGCCACAACACCCACCAACTTGGGAGTTGCCGAATCCTTCTACTTTACCTTATCTATACCGCATTTGTTTGGCTAATGAGATTGTTTGCCACCAGATAGCGAGAGTCACTTTACCTATCAGAACTAGCGTATCGCATTCTACCGTATTCACTATGCTATGTGAAGCATCGATAAGCCAGATTTACACTTGCAACTTATTATGTAAGACTGCTTGTGAACTTGTCCACATCCGAAGACCCGTCTATCCACCTCGCGGAAAGATAGTAGTAGTGCGCGTAATCAGAAAGCGCATCTATTCATATCAGCTTCTCATCTTGAAAGGGCAGTTCGGCTCAACCATACATTTTCATGTCTTCCAGATATCGTGCGGATCTATCGTTTCCCGTGACACATAGCTTGGAGGTCTCCGAAATTCGAATTGGACGTACACAAAGCACGTCAAATATATGAGACCCTTGATCATACCACTCCCTGGGCCTTAAGGTCCTGACAAAAACCAATTCAAAACAACATTGGATTACCTCAAGGTTAGACTTTTAGGTATTCTGAGTTGTATCCCCATCCTAGCGCTCTCTTATCAGCATTAACTCCTCCTCAAACTAACCTCTCTCGTGCTTAACAGCTATTGAGGCAAGATCATTATCATGGATTTCGCAGAAGAGACGATCCGCAGCACGCAAAGGATTCCTCGAAGCTGTTCTTTCTGCTACAGACGGAAGATCAAATGTGATCAACGGATCCCTTGCAAGGAGTGCCGATCAAGAGGCCAAGCTGACTCATGTCACGTTGAAACAGTACGAGTGAAGGGCCGCATTATAAAGTGAGCAAAGCGTCAAAAGCAAGAGAAATCCGTACTGATCGAGCCGGGGACTCATAAGGTCCGGCGCAGATTCTGGTGCTCAGCCCAGTTACTCGGACTTGGTCAAGGAGAATGAAAGACTCCGAGGACTTTTGGAAAAGAATGCAAAGACGCCCAAAATCCGTCGCCTTTCTTGTTTGGAGCTTATGGAGGAGCGAGAGCAGCAGTTATACAGAATGCTCAGGTCCCACAATCGACCCTCAACTCTCTCTGGGCCATCGGATATTCTTTATCCATCTGAAATTTGCAGCTGCGTCCTTTTCAAATATGCAGCCGAATGGATTTGGCTGCATTTTGCAGTAGATGCGACTAGCATTGAGAAGCAGAGAGTTGCCTTTTTTGAACGGTGCGACTGCGTTGACCCTATCGATGCCATGGATGCATCATGGCTTGGTCTCTATTTCAGTTATTTGACGGTTCGTTCAATTCTCGGAGGGGTCTTATTTTTAATACGTCCTTTTGATTCATCATATCTACAGACAGCCCTTTTTTTTACGAGTGACGACGAAATTCTCAAATCGAGTCTTCCCAATAGTAGTTCGCCCCATTCTTGTGTTTTGGGCATATTCTCAATTGAAGCTAACCTTGAATCTTTAGATGACATAGCTATGGTGATGCATAATTGGTATGATGCTGCATTATTCTTTCTGCACCGGTCAGATTTCCTCAGCGTGCTCGACGTACGAAATGTTCAGACCATTGCGATACTGGGCGTCGTATTCATCAATCTCGGTGACTTCAATCTTTATTGGAATCTTTGGGGATGCGCAGTACGAATAGCTCAGGCCCTTGACATCAACACCGATGCTGCTCACATGGAAAGTGAACAAAACGAGCCCCAAACCAGGTGTCACTTATGGTGGACCCTCGTCATTTCAGATTGGCTATCTTTCCAATTGGGATATGCATGCATTCGGGAAGATGAGTTTATGGTCGAACTGCCTTGCACCGGATTTGTTGATGAGAACTCTGATGAGCTAGAATCGCTTAACGAGAAGCCAAAAGTCTCTCAATATCACCTGGTGATGTCTAAAATTGCCTCGGCACTGTACAGATTCAAGTACGCAAACTCAAACATCCCAGAAGATTGGGAAACCACGATGCAGGTGGTTCAGACGGCCGATAACGATTTGGCAGACATAATCGCACACCTACCTTCGCACCTTCAGCCTACAGGAGCTGAGGTGCTAGAGCTGACAGTCTTCGGTCAGCATGCACATCAATCCTGGATCTCTAATCAGCGACGAAGCCTATCAATAATTCTTCTCTACTACCGGATGGTGATCAACCGTACTCAAAAAAAGCACGAGCAATGCCCACCCTTCGTGCAAAAACGGGCCACTCTGATTTGTCTCGATTCTGCTCATGCCGTTGTCAGGGCTTGCATCGACCCTGAGCTACCCAATTACCCAATTCCAGTGTGGTATGCTCTGATATCTTGGTTTCCATGAATTCAAAGGACTCATAATATTCTAGGTCCGTTCTTCTACCACTCTACTCCGCTGCATCAACTTTAGCCATTGATTGGGCCCATTGTCGGTGTGGATCCAAAGACCGCCACGTGTCTGAAGTGCTAAGTTGCATTGAGTTCTTTGACTCTGTGGCACACAAGAGCGTTTATGCTTCGTATGCTGCTGAAGCACTAAGAGGAATTACTGAATCTTCGGTTTTCCTACCGTACCCATAATCAATGATTTGCTCTGACAGATAATCTATGAGCATCCATTCGTCGTCGCTATGCGTGTAGTGTCTGCCTGGGAAGTAGAGTTGAACATACTAGGCACTGCTTTGTGAGTGACCTTAAGTGTTATAAGAGTGTTTTGCTGTGAAAGAAATATTCAGTTCGACCTTGTGTATTGTAAGAAAGCTAAAAGCTATTGAGATTCATAGGGATGTAATATTCAGGATATGTACGTGTGCTTCGTTTGGCAGACCGGAACGAGCGTGCACCTATGTGCAGTATATGCAAATCGCGCGATGTGCTCGGACTAGGCGCTAAGGCATCGAAACAAAGTGAGGTTTCTTTAGTATATTTGCCAGAATAGGAAGCGGTTAGATTTGACCATGCTGTAATCAATTTCCTCCCTTATTCTTAAAACCTAGCATCGAGGGTGGCATGGATCAATAGAATGTGTTAGATAAGAACGGCTATAAACCAAGGAGTGTCATATCATCTCAGGTTTATAAGATGAAGAGAGCCGTGACTGTCACTGGAGGCTTCTGCTGGTCGGTCTGTTGGTATAATTACCGTGAACCCTCGCCACGGAAGTTAACTTACGCGACCTGTTTCGAACTCATAGGTTAGGCTCTGTGATTTAAGAATGAGAGATATGTGCAGACTCCAACAGCTATAAGTATATGCTCAAGCATATATAGGACCTTCCACTACCTGAAGAGAAAAGCTGGCCTCGTCAAGGTCCGCTCTACTTCTCTCTTGCTCTGCCAGTCTAGTACAAGCCTCAGGTGGACGATTTTTCCAAGTCTAAATCAGCAGGGTATTGATGTAGAACGGCTGATATGAAGTGATCTAATGAGCTTGGTTCCAGCTGTATCAAAACTCAGCCTCACATGTTTCGTACAAAGCAAGCAGGGTCCTGCTACATTAGTGTGGATGTACGGCACAATTATCTATAGAACACTATAAGGGATTACTGGACTGCAGCTCCCTGGGGCCCTTTGTACGAATGATCCCAGTATCTCTGCATCTGAGTATGATTTCTTCCTTGAGGTGTAGAGGCGATATGTGCAGTAGAGTAGTTATGTCGATAGGAGTAATAACCTCTGTCTTGTATGGCTCAAGACTGATAAATGGAGGCATCTCTGGTAGCAAAGGAAGACCGAAGAAGAAAATAGCTTCATCTACTCTATGTATTCTTATTTCGGGAAGCGGTAGGAGAAGCGGTAACAGGACTGGACTAGAAAACTCCATTTGCCCGATGGTCGCAATCGTCTTACGGGAATAATAGCGCGCGTCTTTATTAAGTTCCGCTCATGGAGAATCACCCCAGCAAGAATATGGCAGTGGCGTTGCCGGATTGATCCGCCCCGCTGCTTATTGGTTAACGAATCTGTATCTGGAATTGAAATTTGTGGGAGGAAACTTCATTGAGCAGTTGACCACTCTCATTTGCGGCTTCTATTAACATCTCGTTCACATCCTCCCCTGTTCTTATCCTCAATTTCTGATTGAGAAAGACTCTCGTCAATCCCTTCCGCTACCCTTGCGTAGTCTCATAAATTCTAGTTTCACAGCAACGGCCATAGTTCTTCGAAGCCGACTGATCAATTGCTTCCGTCAATGCGTGCGGCGCTTTCATCACTCGGAAAAAGCTAAATACGGGAGTAAGAAGAAGTCACTGAATGCTAGTGGTTGAGGGCCATTCTTGTATCACAGCTGCTGATTTCATCGCACTTTTCCTCTCCTGGACGGTAGATAGTCACTGACACGTTTCGCGAACGGCCTACATGCAACATCGTATAGTAATTTTTGTCTACGGTAACCTGCAATTGTGTTCCTACATCTATGCAGATGCGGAGAAGTGCTTAATATACCGACGGCTATCATTCTTAAGATCGCATATGTCCATGCGACTTTCTGGATCAAATATTTACCAGAGAGATTATCACGATTCGCCAGCAAAATCAAATTCGGATCAAAGCTTTTCTAAACCAAATGACAATAGAGGATAAATCGCATATGAAGCGATCACATTGGACACCGTGAGGCTTGTTCTAGGAGGCCAATGGGACAGACGTGGCTAGAATGGTCTTCAGCTTCCTTATAGGTTGGAATTCCTGACCAGACCCTCTTTACCTGGTCTCTTGAAATAGTTGGCGAAGTGATGTGCAAATAGTTCCGGTCGGTTATAGTGACCGGCAATATCAATGGCATATTTTGGGATGATCACGTCCGTCGGGTCAATATCGGCGTAGAGGATGCCATCTCCTGGATTGAGCGGCCCGGCCAGTATGTTACCATCTGGACCCAGAATGGTTGCAAGAGGCTTCTGGCGCTCCATCTCCATGTACCTGCGAATGTCCTCATCCTCGCCGTATGCCTCGATTGCGTCATCGTCAATGACGCCAACCGAGTTGATCACGAAACACTTGAGAGCATATGCAAGACCCCTGGTGGAATTCAAGATACAAGACTGCATTTCGATTTCAGGAGTGAAGTGTGTTGGCCAAGATGCGACATGAATCACAGGATATTTCAAGCTCAGAGAATACATGGCCAATGCATTGGCATTCTCACCACAGATCAGACCACTGAGACAGCCAAACTCCGTAGGAACGGAGACAGAAGTGCCAGTCTGACCGTCTGTGTGGATCAATCGCTCGGCAACAGTTGGGACGTACTTCTGGTGCTTGTTGAGAAGCGAACCGTCAGGCCCAAACAGAAGTTGGGTGTTGAATGTAGTACCCGTGGTTCCCACACGCCGTTCATTGACACCCACGATCGCATATATATTGGCGTCTTTGCAAGCTTGACCAATCTGTTCAGTCTCGGGGCCTGGAACCTCGACCGAGTTGAGAAAGAGTTTGCGAAAAAGGCCGTGTGCATGAGAGCGATCCATGGGGATGAGCTCGTCCCATGCGGGGTATCCCGGGATGATGCACTCTGGGAATCCGATGACCCGGGCACCAGCATCACCTGCCTCCTGAATAAACCGGCAAACCTTATCAGTTGTAGCCTGTCTGTTGAGAAAAACCGGCGCCATCTGGGCTGCCGCGATCTTGATAGTTTCTGACATATCGCGAACCAAGGGCTGTCGTCGTTGATGTGGGTGAAGGATGGCTGGGACGTCCGTTGATCAATGGTAGAGGTGACAGGTGAATGAGGTCCGAATTGTCGCGAACCTTGTAAGCCGAGATGAACAATGACATGGCATAAATGTCAATTGGAGTTATTATATCTTGTTGTTCCGGCTCTCGAAATGCGCTATCTACAGCTGTTGAAGATAAGACGATAACGTGTCGGCCGTGTCACGGCCGAGAGAGCATGGTCTATGATTGTGTGAATCTTCATTCCTGACGTTTCAAATAATCGAACAATGTTATCTTGGATTGTTATGCGGGGAAAGTCATGAATTGCGGCTGGATAAGTACGGCCCAAGCTAGACTTTCTCGATAAGGGCGTTGAGAAACTTTAACTGGATTCAAATCTTTATCTAGCACGGTGAAGACTCGCCCGAGACTCTTTCACCACTGAGTCATGAAGTGAATTGAATTTGCAGTGGATGATTGGACACGATTGTTTGGCATACTGCATGGATTTCAAATGTATTAGCAAATAACGGGTCACCCTAATCTGAGAAGTCGAATAAAAACCTAGTTATACCCTGATATATGAATTCGAGGCTTGTGGTCCTGCCCATACGACTCTCACTTCTCCCATTCTGCGAATCAAAGGAAACTTCTTATTCCACATAAATACTCAATGTCAGTCTCTAGTGAAAAGCGCAAGGTGAGTTACAAGCCTATGTTCGAGGCTAGTGTGGACTCGGGACAAGCTTCACATAACACAGAGGAACAACTTGAGCAAAGCATCGGCGAGTTAGTCAGTGTTGACGGTGGTTATGGCTGGGTCTGTGCATTGGCCATTTTTCTGATCAACGCCCACACATGGGGTGTTAGTACTGTGAGTCTTCCCGTGAAGAACGAAGGAAAGGTACATGCTGACTCAGCTTGAATTCCTAGTCCTACAGCATCTTCTTGACTCATTATGTTGAGACTGATTCGCTGGTTGGTGCAACCACGCTGAATTATGCCTTCATTGGGGGTCTTCAGTATTCGCAGGCCTTCATGATCGCACCTGTCGCGCTAAGGCTTATGGCTCTATGTGGCATGAGGACATGTTTGCTCACAGGTGTCATCGTTCAAACTGGCTCGCTGATCGGTGCATCATTCGCAACTCACATTTGGCATCTTTATCTGAGTCAGGGCATCGGCTTTGGATGGGGAGTCGGTCTCTTTCTAATCGGCACGCAAAACAACATCTCTCAATGGTTCAGTCATCGCCGAAGCTTGGCCGCTGGCCTGGCTGCAGCAGGCACTGGTGCTGGGGGGCTTTTGTATTCCTTCGTTGCCAGTTTTATGATTCAGAGCACCAGCATTGGCTGGGCCCTCCGAGTCTTAGCTATCGTTTCTGGTACGGTGAACTTTATCTGCTCTATCCTGATACGCGACCACAACAATCAAGTCCATGCAGTGTACGAAGCCTGGAACCTGAAGTTTCTTCGCAACCCTTTTTACTTAGTCCTTCTGGTCTTCGCTTGGACCAGCATGTTGGGCGAGATCATTATTTTGACTCAAATTCCTAACTTTGGTAGCCTGAAACTCGGACTTAATGGTACACAAGCCTCGGTGATTGGAGCCATGATTGCGGTCGGACAGATTCTTGGTCGTATCTGCATTGGTTTCCTCAGTGATAAGCTCGGACGTCTGAACGTTGCTTCCTTGGTAACGTTCCTCGCGGGCCTGTGGTCTGTTGTCGTTTGGCCTCAGGCGCATTCATACGGGGTTCTAATTTTCTTCAGTATTTGCATCGGTGCTTTTGCGTATGTGAAATAGTGACCCGCTGTACTGAGTTACGCTAATACTTTCGAGTAGGGGCTCGTTCTGGGCAATTGTTGGGCCTGTCAGCACCGAGGTTATGGGTCTTCAAGACTTGCCAACCAGTCTCTCAATGCTTTTCCTTGCTCTAGTCATACCCACAACCTGTGAGTTTTCATCTCTTCTTCAGGGCTGGCAATCAGGTTTCTGAAACACGTACGCTTACCTCATTTCCTGCTCTAGTCTCCCCTGTGATTGGGATGCAGATTGTTACATCCAACGACGGGTCGTACCTGGGAACCCAACTGTTTGCTGGCTTGATGTTCATTGTCTCTTCAATCTTCTGCTGGATCATTCGTTCGTGGAAAGCACAGATTATCAACAAAATGAAGTCCGCCGGAGATATACAGTATTCAGTGGGCATTGATTCAATGCGCACGGGACGGCAAAAGGCATTCTTTGGAAACTCTGATAACTTTTCTTCTAGCTTTTTATCTGCTTTCTTTTCAGCGACCAAGGCATGAGTCCAGATTTCCGATGAATGGAACGGCTTCTTTCTCTTCAGTCTTCTTCATGAGGTCTCAGAAAGGGGCACGTATCGGCGCGAGATCGAGAGCGAGAGAGCAAATCCGAAGGCTATTCGAGCAGCTGAAAGCTAAATTGCTGCTCTAAGTACCTTCGAGATGGAAAGATGCTATCATCGATGGGTATTTAAAATTTACTCAAGGCCCATCTAGAGTACTATGAGATCTAAAGAGATTGCATCGAGAGGGTTGAGATGGAGTTGATGAATCCTGCCCAATCTATTTACTTCACAAATGACGCAGAGAGAGGGAGAAAGAGCTTACTAGGGTGACAAGACTATAAATGCGAATATTGCAGTCTTAGAGCTTGAAAAGACAATTAGGCACCACTTGGTCACTTTGTGCACATGTGGACAGTGGGAGCGGAAGACCGCAGTGCAATTATGCATCGGTTGTGGAACGTACAGTAGCTTGCAAAATCACCTTGCGCTTTGAGATTTACTCTTTATTCCTAAAGCCCAGATGCCAAGAAGGCTCTAACCGCAATTCTTTAGTCTTGTTCCTACCCTTGTCTCTGTATCTTACATGGCACTGCAAGAAACCGTAATAATGTTCGTTTCAGACTTGCGGACTGCTTGGTTTTTCACTGCCTCGTTTTTTCTTCCAAATGCCATCACGAGAGACATATAATCAATACTGTCAAAAACAACTATTGTTATATTGAGGATAAGATGTAAAGATAATATGGTAATAGCAACTCAACTAAATCCCAATATCAGAAACAGATGAAAAGAACTTGTTCTCTATTGTCTAAACGTCAATTAACCGCTTCGCATTCATAAGTGTCTCCTGAGACAATAGTCGATTAGAATGTTCTTCATCAAGTGTTTTCCCTTCTACTGTAACCATATGCTCAAGGAGCTCTACAGCCTGCTTGGTCTGTCTGTTGGACTGATATACTCCTGCAAGTGCGTGCTGAGACGGCAGTCGAAATGGATGTTTCTCGTTATAGTTGGCTTCGTTCCATGTATATATATCTCTCAAAGTAACAGTAGTTTCTTTTGTTCAGCTATCTGCTAGAATGCAATCTCTAATCTTGGAAAGTAAACTATATCTTTCTATCGAATCTTTGTTTTCCTCTTTTCTAAGAGTTTCAAAAGTATGTAGAAGATATATTCTTTATATTTTTCAATTAATATATTTAGTAGACGGAAAACATTTATTTATATGTTATGTAATAATTATAATAATCTTTTATATCCTCTGTGCTTTTATTATTTACAATTGTATTGATAACTAAATAAGACTATAAATATCAAAGATATTTTCATTCTCTTTTCTAGTTAGAAATCTATAGTCACTTAATATATCAATTGCAAAATTTAATTCCTCATTAAAATTAAGAATAGGAAAAATAGATCATAGGATTGTTTTTAATTCAAAAAAAAAAATAAACTTCAATAAATTAGCAGTAGAAGGATTAAAGTGTAATGGGTGTACAGACACAGGCGTACCACCTGTCAACCCAGTAGTAGACTAGAAGGGGAATCACTATCGAATCGTGGGTAATTCGATTATCATCGGTAAGAGAGTAAGAATCTAAGAGTATATCCACAATGGGCATAATAGTATTTGTTAAGACTGATTCTTGCAGAAGGATAATGTCCTGAGAAGGCCTTCCCTTTATACTGTAAGAAGGGTGCTAGTATAATCAAGTAGGCGATCATCCTATGCTATTCACTATGAAGTAAATCCCTTATGGAGGCTAGTTCCCTTGGAGGAAACATACGCTTTCGGAATGGGGATGCGACGGAGATTGATACCCTGGAATTCTTGCGCAGTAAGCACAGGCAGTATACTCCTGCGGGGTTGGTATGGATAGTATACCCCTGCGTAGTAGGCGTAGGTAGTTTACCTCAGGTGCATCGTAGGAGATCCTTTGCTAATACCTATCGAATCGTATTTACTTTGTATGAAATCAGTACTTTTTATAATTATCCTTTCCTCTATAGTAGACGTCCTCGTCTGTAGTTCCTATATTGTATAGTATTGGTAGTAAACGAGGGTAGCGTCAGTGGTGAGTAGACCTTATTAAATCCTTTAAAAAACCTAGTATAGAAAAAATATTAAAAAGAAGAGTATCCTTCCTTTATCCTCAAAATAGAAATTAAATCCTTTAACCTTGGATTTAAATGATTTGATGTATTTTAGATATTTAATCCAAAGTTTTTCTTTATGCTTTAACAATTGTTTAAAGATCTATTTTTAATAGTAATATTTCTTTGTATCGTATAGTATATAGATAGGGTCGTTGATAGTCGTTTTATAGTATTATTAATATCTTGAGATTCTTTCAAAATAGTTGTTGCTACTCCTACTGTTGCTGTTATAGGTAGTCCTATTCCTTATATAGTTGCTATATCCTTAGCTTATTATTAATGTATGTTTTGTCTTTAATGTTCTATTTGAATAGATACTAATGCTATATTAGTATTCAGTATTAATTATTAATTAACTATATAAGATTCTATTTTATATAGATGTTGCTATACTTCTAGAAATTTATATATAGAATCGAAAGCTACAATAACAAATAATATTTATAATTTAAGAATTTTTATTTGATAGATTGGAATATTTTAGAATACTGAGCTAAATCATACTATAGATTAGTCTTACTTTGTATAGAATACTTAGACCTCGACAAAGCCCGCCATGGGTATCACTTTCATACCCATGCCCGGCCCATGGGTCCAGTTTTGAAACCCGGCCTATGGGCCGGGTGGTGGGTTTTTGGCAAATCCATGCTATCTATAAACTGACATAAATTGCCTAAAAAGGAAAGTCTTGGCATGCATAACTAGATGACTACTTGCAATTAATTACCGTCAGTTATCTATATAATCTTTATATATATTTAGCTATATTTACTCTCAGGATAGTCAAATATATAACTAAATTTATATTTATAATAAATGCATAGATTCAAACGTACGATTTATTAATTCAGCAGAAGATCTAGAAATGGAATCTTATAGATCCGCAGACGATTCAGATAGTATTTAGTAGTAAATAGAAGTTAATTCTTAACATCAATTGTACAACTAGCAATCATATAGTTACCCTTTGTGGAGGAGAATATTATTTTGTTTATATTATCAGCTGTGCAGAAGAATTCTATAATAGAAAATATACATATACTCTTGTTGGTTGTAGATGTTACTATTAGCTATAATAAAAGATTAAGAAGCTTTTTCTATATAGTTTTATTAAAAGACTAGCGGCTAGAGGCTATAAGGGTAATATAGAGATTATTCTAGAATAGATAGTAAGGATAGATAGTATCAATAATAAACAAACTTTGTTAAACCTTTCAAAAATCTAATAAACGTAAAAAATAAGAGAAGAATATTTATTCTTTGTCTATTGAATAAAGATTGAATTTTTTTAATCTCGATTTTGAACAATTTAATACGCTTTAATCCTTTGACTTAGGGTTTTTTTTTATCTTTAATAATTATTTGAAAATCTATTTTCATTAATAATGCTTCTTTATATTATACAGTATATAAATAAAGTTGTTAATAATTATTCTATAGCATTACTAACATCTCAAAATCTTCTTAAAATGACCACTCTTGCTCTTTGTATAATCTCTATACTTTGGCTCGCTACTAATATATATTTTGCCTTCGGCATTCGATCCGAGTATCTCTTATTGCTACAACACTATTTGTTATTAGTTATCGATTAACTATACAAAATTCCATTCTATATAGTCGTTATTATATCTTCAAGAGTTTATATATAGAACCAAAGACTGTAATAACGAAGGATATCTAGGATCTAAATTCCTTTATTTAATAAATATTAATATTCTAAGTCTTTTAGCTAAATTATATTATAGATTAATCCTATTCTATATGGGATATTATATGCCTTATAGCTCTTAATACAGTATTATAACAATTAGCTATAACATTTAATAGTATACATATAAAATATATAGTTGCATTCAAAGTTAGAAATATTAAAAACAAATATATAAATACTATTTTCCAATTCAAAAGTGTTTTCTATACTAATTTTAAGCGATTCGATAATTTAATAAATCCAAATATTAAGATTTTATATATATACATTATTAATCAACAGTTAATCCTATATCCAAACTTCGTAACAATACTTTAGTAGCTAACTAGAATAAGTACAATAACAAGGATGCTTTGTAATTACACTTTAGAGATCTTAGATTTATTTACTAAATACAAACAAAACATAACCTTTATATAATAGTAATAGCTATAGCTAATATCTATTATAGATATATATTTGATATTCCTAGTATTGCTAGGAATACTATCGTATCTATAACAACTAATAATACTACTAACTATTATAAAGCTTTAATAGATAAATTCAATATAGATTTCTCTATAAATAAACTAGATTTGTAATTTAAAAATAATTCGTAAATGTTTCTATTACTATTAGTGTACTTTTTATAAATAAGGATTTAAAAGTACTACTAACTATTATAAAGTTTTTATGAACAAGCTTAATATAGATTTCTTTGTAAATAAACTAGATTTATGATTTAAAAGTGATTTATAGATATTTCTATTACTATTAATATGTTTTTCGTAAATAAGGATTTAAAAATATTATTAACTATTATAAAGCTTTTATAAATAAACTTAATATAGATTTCTCTATAAATAAATTAGATTTATAATTCAAAAATAATTTATAAATATTTTTATTACTATTAGTATATTTTTCGTAAATAAAGATTTAAAAAAATAGAAGATATAAATAAATTTTAAAGTTAAAATGATTTTGAAGTAAAGATTTATATAGTAGTAAACTTTAACAAATATAACTTTATTTTTTCACTTTCCAATTTCTTTACTTCTATCTTCCTTTCCAATTCTCCCTTTCCTTTATTTCTTCTATAGAACTCTTTTTTGTATATAATATAAACTATCTATTAAAAGATT